CTTGATTCACCATCTCATCAGGTCCTTGGCCGCAAATCTTGTCATACAAATGGCCTAAACACCATTCTTTTTCTACATTGAGGTCAACTGTATATTCACAACAATCACTTTCTCCCACCAGCATCAGTAGTGCCTTTCTTCACAAAAAATTATTATCTTCATCCAAAGAGAAGGACATTTGAGGCAGGACTACAAGAGGCATGAAGAAAACTTCTAGGAGATACGCGCACAATTAGCATTCTCTGATATCCTAGTAAAAGAACAGCAGCAGAATTCTTGCTTCATCTGAACACGACATGTAGAAAACGTCTGATACAGGACATGATCATTTGTTCTTTCCTCACAGTGTGGCCTTGAATGTAACTTGCACAAAACAAAGTCTGACACAGAACATGATAGTTCGTTCTTTCCTGATAGATGTGGCCTTGAATGTAACTTTAGGAATCATCACAAACTGAATGATGATATCCACATGCTATATAAAGGCAGAAAACCACATATCTTAGGACATACAAGTGTAAACCAGGACAATGATAGGCTGGTGTCCAGCATTTTTGTCCTAGCTAATCTAACGAATTATTTGGAACTAGGAAGACAAAGGATCTCTCTTCAACCAAGCTTTCAGGTGGAATAAATCAGAAGATTTCAATAGGTTTCCTACTTCATAATGACACCATTACAACAATATTGTTCTCTGGTCACAATCAATCTCATTTAGATGACAACTAGATATGTGACTATTTGTATTGAATTCTACTAGTTGTAATCTATGTGGTACGTTACAACGATATCTAAGCCCTTTGTCATGTATTCCAAAAAAAATAAATTAAATGAAGTACTTCACAGTTTGAGCAATTTGATGATATCATTCTCAAAAAACAGAGTAACCACACACAGATGAAAGCATCATTTTAACTAAAACATAGAGAAGAAGTCTAGCTAACCTTGGATTTTTCCTGCAATTTGTCCACTAAAACTAGATACTGTTTCAGAGTATAGTCTTTCGAGTTACCATTTGCAGCCACCATTGCCTAAGAACAACGGCATTTTCACATAAATCAATCATCTAACTACACTTCAATCATCAAATCGCAGAGAATCAAATAGAGTTTTCCACAACAAGAAAGTAATGATAAAATTACTTCATCCGACATAAAAGGTGCAATATCCGGTGCGAAAGCAGCCAAAACTGCGGAGGCTGTAGCTGGACCAACGCCTTTCAAGACAGTGAGTTCTGAAATAGCTTTTGAGATATCAGGTAGAGACTGAAATGCCTTCTCTGAAGCAGATCTCACAACAGCGTCGTCCAGTGATGACACAAAATCCAACAGCCTAGGCCTGCATAACAATTATCATACATTACTAGGGGCGGATCTGATGTATAACTCATGGGTTCATCCGAGCCCAGTAGCTTTGGCTCGGACTGTGTATATGCTAGAAAATTCACCAAATAAGTACATAGTAGATCTCGAACCCAGTAAATTAGATGAACTGCAGTAAAATTGGGAACTCGAACCCATAATGTTCAAATCTTGGATTCTCATTTGTGTGTTACATGGATTTTTTCATAGCCTTAAGTACCTTGTCTAATGTAACATAGATGTAATTATATTCTTCAAAATACACTTAAATTAGCCAAAAAGAAATTGAACAAACTGTACCAATTACTTACACAAACTCATATCAAGTTAATTCATTCCTATAGTCGAGTCCATTACCATAGCAATTATCAAAAGTAAATCTTCCTCCTTCCCCTTTTATGCCGCATTAGAAATCAAAAACATTTTAAAAAACTTGTGGTCTAAAAACAAGCAATAGACATTTGCGTATAAAATTAAATTATTTCTAAATATACAAATGTGTGATTCTTTCGGATGCAAAATAAAAAGGAAAGTGTGTAACAGAAATTGATAGTGAAGGAGTACATATATTTTGTCATAGGCAAGATGAAGAGGGAAGTACAAACCTCCATTTGCCTCTAGTAAGCTTCCATTGCATGAGCTTGGTGAGTTCGGAGGTTGTAATGTAACTAGGGTTTCGTTGCCGGAGAACGCCGGGAAGTTCATTCCGGTAGAAATCATCGAGCGAGACGAGGTTGGGCTTGTTCAGTGACTCGATACGGACTCCGTAAGAAGATAGGGCATCCTTCCACAGGCCCAAATCGGAGCATTTGAAGTCCATCGCCGGCGATTACAGTTTGGAGCTCAAAAGAGGAACTGTCGCGCCATTTCTTATAAATATTGTGAAAATTTCTATGCTGACACCACTGAGTTTCTTGAAAATACAAGAGAGTCCACTAAACTTATTTTAGGTTGTTTGGCTAACATATGCATAAGTTATTAGAGTTTCAATTCAAATCATATTTTTAAAGTGTGATAAATTCATAGAAGTTATGCAAGAAATTTCAATAAACATTTTAGTATTAGAAAGTGTATTTCTCTCTTTTATATACCTTATTCTTTTCATTAACATATTTGATAAATACTTAAATCTTTTTAGGGTTATTTGGCTAACATGCAAACGTGGTTTAGAGTTAAAAATGTTGGCTATCCCTTTAATAGTGGTCCTAAAAATGCCTCCATTGATTTATGTATTTGGCCAAAGCCCATTCTTTATGTTTTTATGTATATACTATAGCTTTGTTGATATTGGTAGGAGGGAAAAAAACTTGATTGTGCTCTCTCTCATTTTCTCTCTGAGGTCTCTGGTGAGAAGAGACAGCTATTCCTCCATTTTAACTAACACAAAATGCTTTTGAATCAAATATTTACATTGTTAACTGTCTTTTCCGTATGAATGAAAAGAAAAGGAACCAAAAGAAAAAGTAAATAATAGGTTCTATTTCGCTTAGTACTGAGGTTAAAATTCTCGAAAACAGAAGAGGCTTACACGATGAATCAGATCCAAATGTGAAGATTTTTTATATCACATTCTGTCGAAATGTAAATTTATAAAATAGAGAAACAAAGTAGGCAAATTCCTAAAGTTAGTTCTTGAGTATCCTTTAATTTTTTTTTTTTTTTTTTTTT